CCGATGCCACAGACACAGCCCAGCTAGGTGTGTTTGTCCGGATGGTTTTCACGGATTTTACTGTCAAGGAGGCCTTTCATGCCCTTATCCCATTGAAAGAAAGAACCAGGGGTGAGGATGTGTACAAGGCATTCAAGGACTATGTTCGTGAGTACAAGATTCCCATTCATAAAATAGTGTCCTTCACAACCGATGGGGCACCAGCGATGCTCGGTGTTCGTTCAGGATTTGTTGCGCTGTGCAGAACAGACCCAGACTTTCCACCATTTGTAAACTATCACTGTGTGATACTACATCAACAGGCATTGGCAGCTAAAGCAATTGACATGTCACATGTAATGAATGTTGTTGTTAAGATTGTCAACTCAATTCGCGCAAAAGCGCTCCAGCACCGGCTATTTAAGTCTTTATTAGACGAGCTGGACTCTGTGTATGGAGATTTGATCCTTCACGCAGATGTAAGGTGGCTCAGTCGGGGCAAGGTGCTCCAGCATTTGCTGCCAGAGATCATCAGTTTTCTGAAGTCCAGGAACGAGGAGTATGAGCAGCTGTCCGACGATACCTGGTTATTGGACTTGGGGTTCCTTACCGATCTGACTGCAAAACTCAATGACCTTAACCGAGAATTGCAAGGGAAAGACCGAGAGCTTGGTCACATGATTAGCGCAGTGGAGGCATTCAAAGTGAAGCTCAGTTTGTGGACCACTCAGTTAAGACATGCGAGGCTGACACACTTCCCAAATCTTGAAAAGGTGTCACAAAACCTTACAGACAAAACTGCTTTCCATCCAGAACAATTCTGCGCCCATTTGAACAAACTGATCGATTTGTGGAGCTACAAGACATGGGGCAAGTAGTTGGTTTTGTATCAAACCCTTTCCTCAGCGTTGACATTGAACAGCTGTCAGCTAAAATGCAGGAGGTGTTTACATTACCTATGGGTGTTGACATGGAGATCATTGAAATGCAAAGCGACATTGAATTGAAGGCCAGAGCAAGAGATCAGGACTTTTGGTCACTCGTGAGTAGAGAGAGGTATCCACTGATTGTGTCATGTGCGCTTAAACTGAAGGCCTACTTTGGCTCCACATACTTATGTGAAACGGCCTTTTCACAAATAAAAATAATTAAATCCAAGTATAGAACTCGTATGACTGACGCACATCTTACTGACTGCCTCCGGCTGGCAATCACTAACTATCAGCCAGATTTCAAAAGGCTTACAGATAATGTGCAGTCACAGCAGTCTCATTAAAGGCAGGCTGATAGAGCAACTTGAGCATTGAAAATATATTGTGCATTGAACAGAGCAACTTAATATGGATTACATTGAACTGTAGGCTAATATCTGTACATGTGAATATTACTAATTGAACTGAGAAACTAAATATAGTGTGAACAGATACTGTAAATATGAATAGTTTGTATTGAACAGATATGCCTACCGTAAATATGAATATTGTACATTGCACAGATAACTGTGCATAACTGTGTCTTTCTTTGTTTGCATCTGTACGTACATTGAGCCTGTTGTAACATAAATTGATTGCAAAAATAGATATGACGATGAATAGTCTTACTCCTAAGTGGGTTTTTTGGAAGATATCTGATTGGTAGATCTCGGTTTACATTTTGGAATAAAAAGTGATCTTGGGCTTGAAAAGGTTGGTTACCACTGCTTTACAGAGATGCTGTTTGAGAAACCAATGTGAGTTTGGAACATTGCACACAAATCTATTCTAGTAGACCTCAACAATGGAACTATGATCAATAGAAATGGCCATGACATGGGACCTTTAAGGGTTTTGAGCATATTCTGTTAACTATCATGATAATATTTTTCATTGAATCTAATTCTTTGTGTGATTAAATACCATGTGTTATATTAAACATATTTTGTTGTTTTTGTTGTATCTTTCCCAAGTACTGAGATCCGTTTTCCTAAGTTTATTGTTTTAAATTCCTTTATAATCACACGTCTAGAGAAGTTAAAGCTCCAGACTCCCCCCCCCTCTCTCATCATTATTCAGTCCAGCCCTCTGACCCATCTGTGTCTCCCAGACGCTCCCACCACTCCCCCTCTTTCCTCCCCCCTCTTCACATTGACCCCTTTTGTTCACAGCTTTTGGGAGGGGGGGGGGGGTCTGGTCAGCTGTTTCCTCACTCTGTGTGTGTCTGGACACTGTGGGAATGTGTGTGTGAGAAAAAGTATCAGACAAAGCTCTGTGCAGCTCAGAGTGTGTGTGTCGCCCGGCAAGGACACACACGCGGTGCCGCAGTATCCTCAGGACATGTAGTTTGGACTTCCAGTTTGAGTTTCTTTTATTTATGTTGTTTTGTGTTTTGAGTTTTTTGGGGACCAGAACATCTTCAGGCTATTATCACAGGATTACAAACATCTACGGATTTAAGTCTTGGTGCGAGTGAAGGTCGTTGAGAGAATATGCAGCCTTCACCAGGCACGCACAACCATGACGACTGTGTTCAGACGCAGCTGTGCGGTGAGAAAACGACTTTCTGTTGGATAACTTGGGATATCTTTAAACCTAGGGCTAATGTGTTGCTGCTTTATTATACCTGTCAAGTTATTTCTCTTTTTTCATTGAAATGCATGTTGTGTAGGGTCGGTCAATGAGTTCATTACCAGCCAATCAAAAAAGCCAAATAGTCCCTGGCTTCAGCTTCTTTAAGGTGCTGATAAATCAAATATCAGTGAAGAAAATAGTTGGTCAGACGAAATAAAACTTCTTCCTAGACTTTGGGACATTGTGTGAATGCTGTTGGGTTTAATACTTCCCTAATAATCTAGTCTGCAATTACAGGTTGGGCAAGTTGCAAAGGAAATGAGATGCGGAAAACGATATGTTCTGGCATTTTTGCAGAAAACATATTTAACGATTATGATCATCATAAATATTTAGCAAGTATTTTTCTATCTAACTATGCGATTAGGTGTCTACGGACCTCGATTAGTTAAGTCATATCGTTGACTAAATTGTAGTGTTTCTGAAATACTAGTACTAGATTCAATCAATCAATCAATGTTTATTTATATAGCCCAATATCACAAATTACATTTGTCTCAGTGGACTTTACAGTTTGTACAGAATATCAGTATGACAATACGACACCCTCTGTCCTTAAACCCTCACATCGTACAAGGAAAAACTTCCGAAGAAAACCCACAGTTTAAAGGGAAAAATGGGAGAAACCTCAGGGAGAGCAACAGAGGAGGGATCCCTCTCCCAGGACGGACAGACGTGCAATAGATGCCGTGTGTAAATTGAAAAGATAATACATTTGCAACATAGGTAGTCCAAATGTTTGGAAATGCATGTGTGTATAATAGGAAGATGAATCCACGAGGATATCCATCCAGGACCTATGATCCAGGACCACAGCCACGACTCAAGATCCAGGGCTCGCGATCCAGGACAGAGGAGCGCAGGATCATCCATGACTCCGGATCCCGGCGTATATAGACACCAAAAAGAAGACATTTGGGGAAGCTGGGTTAATCGGAACATGAGAGTACACAGGTATAGACAGAGAGAAGGAAGAAGTAAGATGTCCCCTGACAAATTAAGCCTATATCAGCAAAACTAGGGGCTGAATCTAATCAGCCCTAACTATAAGCTTTATCAAAAAGGAAGGTCTTAAGCGCACTCTTAAAAACGGATAGGGTGTCTGCTGCCCGAACACAAACTGGAAGCTGATTCCACAAATGTGGAGCTTGATAAGAAAAGCTCCACATTGTGATTTGACACCTTTAATATTGATTCTAGCTCTGCTGTGAAAGTCCAGTTTGCATTCAGTGCAACGTTTATTTGCATGTCAAGAACTTATCAAGAGTTTTGTTTGACATTCTGTTTGAAACCCACTTCTTCCTCGTGTTGATCATGTGACCAGTTGTGTGGTACTTCAGTGTTTTCCCTCTCTACCTGTTCGGGATGTGTTTACTTTGGTATCTAATGTGTTGGTGTGACCTGGTGTTGTGAGTCTCATTGCAGGTCCGGTTGTTAAAGTACATTATGAATGAAATGGCTTGCCTTGTATACATGTTTGAGAACCATGCGTGAATGGCTAAACTCATAAAAGGTTATGACTGAGTTAGAAGAGTCAGCTGACTGAGTGTGTGTGCCTTCATGTTGTGTAATGGTCAGAGGAACAAGAGTGTGAGAACTGTGTGTGTGTGTGTCTGCTTTATGTTCTGCTGTCTGACTGGGACCTGACCTCTGCCCACTCCCTGTGAAAGAAAAGTGTGAGAAAAAATGCTCCATAAGGGGGGGGGGGATAAGGGCAGACTGCATCTAAACAAAGCTAGCCCTGTCTGCCTCTGTGTGTGTGTGTGTGTGTGTGTGTGTGTGTGTGTGTGTGTGTGTGTGTGTGTGTGTGTGTGTGTGTGTGTGTGTGTGTGTGTGTGTGTGTGTGTGTGTGTGTGTGTGTGTGTGTGTGTGTGTGTGTGTGTGTGTGTGTGTGTGTGTGTGTGTGTGTGTGTGTGTGACCTCTGCATAAGGACTACATCTCTGTCTGGACTGTGTCTGAAAACCTTTCTCTCACACAACATAGAAACATATGTAGTTGAATGAACATTTGACAATGAAGCATGTAGAATCACACTATTTATTTATTTATTACAGCTTTATTGCCAGGTAGTTTTAAGCATACACAAATTCAGTTTTCTTTTAAAATAACTATTTTTAAATAATTTAAACAACTATTTAAACATAAAGAAATACCCAAAATGAGTACAATAAATATACAAAAAATAAGTACAAAAAGAATATGACAGTTTACAACTACAAAATAGATACCATATGTGCAGTATATCAGAATGTATATCAGTAGTCCTCTGTTTTGTGTCGAAGCCCAAGTGAAGATATTTAGATTTTCTGATTTTCTGACAAAACTCCTCCTACTCCTCAGAAGACATAAAGCTGAGTTTAGGACTAACCACAACACATAAACTGACCTCCATCTCTGTCTCTGATTGGTTGCAGCCCAGCTGGAGTTCGTCCAGATCCTGGTGATCGTGGTGGTGATGATGGTGATGGTGGTGGTCATTACCTGTCTGCTGAACCACTACCGCCTATCAGCTCGCTCGCTGCTCTCCAGACACGCCCCCGCCCGCAGGAGACACCTGCCACTGGCCAGCGTGAGTCATACACACCTGAATAAGAGGGGGAAGAAGTACTCAGATTTGATACTGAAGTGAAATAAGCAATACTATGTAATAATACTCATAAAATATAAACATGCACAGTAGGGTGGTCCTTAGTGCCATGTGCATTTCCAAATTCATTTATTTGAAGCTCCAACCACCGGAATTCATTATGATAGTCAAGAAAACTCTCCTGGTGAATGTTTTCCTCAATCTGACAACATGTACCCCTCCCTCATGGACCTGGGCTGCCACACCAGCAGCACGGTGCTGCAACTGAGGCTACACTTCAAGGTCGATGAGGGAGGGGTACATGTTGTCAGATTGAGGAAAACATTCACCAGGAGAGTTTTCTTGACTAATAGAATGAATTCTGGGGGTTGGAGCTTAGACTTTCCCACTTTCAATGTTAAGGACCACCTTAATGCACAGTCAGCAAATTGCCCTCCCTCTTCAACCAGTTTTGTTTTCCTGTACCTTGACTGTATTATTGATGTTGAATGAGTTGAACAAAATCCACCACTTAACACTTAATGTCATTTATCAACATTCATCAACACATCTCTTTCATATCTGTTTAGAAATTGATTCCTAGTAGATTCAATTTCATATGCTTAATATCTGCAGTGTAGTTTATGCCAAAACAAATCTTAAATTGTGTTGATAAAGCAACTTGCTGTGCTATTTCTTTGGTATCAGATTAGGTTCATGTTTAAGTGTGACCAGATGGCTGCCTTTTTTTAATAGATGCATAATGATGCAGGAAAAGTAAGAGTTACAATGAATTCCTGTACAAAAACTGGGTCATTGGGTAAGCTTTCATAGCAGATATGAATGAGTCATATACAACTAACGTTGGATGTTTAAATATATGCATTACACAGAATTGCATATTAAGGCTAAACAAACATGGAAGCATGAAATGAAATCAACAATGAAAGTAACAGCCTGCATGTGTATGTTGTATAAATGAAAAGCTCAAATATCACTATAGAAACAAGGAAAACATAAAAGCAGTGCTCCACTGTGCAGAACGAGTACAAAAGGTGTGTGTTCAGGGGTTTAGTCACAGTTTCTACTGAGAGACAGAATCAGAAGAAAGCAGAGTGATCATAGTTATTAAACACCGCCGCAGGCTAACGCTAACACACTGACTCATTATTCATTAAGGGCCACAGCGAGCTAGCAACGACAGTCAGGACACACACACACACACACACACACACACACACACACACACACACACACACACACACACACACACAGAGCTCCTAATAAGCTCAGGGGAGTCATTGTCCTAGTTCATTTGGATGATCAGACTGACACACATACAGGCAGACAGACAGGAAATGTGCCGCCTGAGAATAAAAAAAGTGACAAAAGTTGGAAAAGTTCCTTCCAGACATTGTTTATAGAAGTTAAAAGCTGCTTTTGTCTCCATTCCGCGAGGCATTGAGACAAAACTGACAGTTCCACAACAGTGTATTGATCCTGAAACTATTTAAATATACGCTGGGAAACTGGGTAATCAAAAAGGCCAATGTGGAGATCTTTACAAAGGTTGCGCAGAAATTCGGATGAGTAACAAAAAAAATCTCTGTGAGGCATTACTTTACAAAATAAGAGAGTATTTTAAAAAGCCATATAGTGCTCACAAATGGAGCCCCTAGTGGACAAAAAGTGAACACATTCTTCATAAGAATAATAAAGAATAAATACAACTTATAATAACCATGAAAGTGAACATACTTACCATTTGATTGAACATAATAATATGTAAAATATGTACAATATGTATTGCTTTAAAAGCTATTGAAATAGCCTTATTGGCATTGGAATAATGACAAGAACAGATGTCACTGTGTGTGCTGTGTGCTCTGCATGTGGGGCCATTACAGAGGGTTTCATCCCTCCAAATATATTCTATCTGTCTATCTATGCATCTACTGTACACACATTTGGAAAATATCATCAATGGTTACAATTATTGTTTTTATTTGAACAATTATTTAACGCTGGCATGTCATGCATAGGCAAATCGTTGATTATTGTGCAGGATATAACTAATCATATATAAGATAAATAAATGATAATCTCTCTATTGTTCTCTCAGGAGGGGAGTCTGTGGTCTTCTGACGGCACGGGGACAAACAGTGGTCTAAATGAGGTGAGGCATCTTTTTGACTATATCTTTATTAAACAAGGAGCATGTATACAAATACATTCATCACAAAAAGCAAAGAGATGATTTAAGCTGGATTTAGCTATAAGCTTTTCTATTAAATGATAACAGAAATAAGCAAAATGAAACAGTTCATAATGTAGCAGTAACATGACATCCTTCCTCTTCACAGCACCAGGTGTACAACCCCCGGCCCCCAGACAGAGGGGCCTCGTCCTACCTGCAGCGGGACCCCCAGCCTCAGCCCCAGCGCTTCCAGCACACCTTCGCCCCGACGCGCTTCCAGCCAACGTACCCCTACCTGCCGCAGAGCCTCATCGACCTCCCACCCACCATCTGCCTGTCGGACGGGGAGGAACCCCCACCGTACCAGGGGCCCTGCACACTGCAGCTCCGAGACCCCGAGCAGCAGATGGAGCTGAACCGAGAGTCGGTGAGGGCCCCGCCCAACAGAACCGTGTTCGACTCCCACCCTCTGCACCCGTCACGCTCCTTTCTGCAGGCCAGGTGACTACAAACATTGATCATGTGTTGACCATACAGCCGCGCTGCGGCTACCAAATTGAATTGATTGAAATCTCTAATATCAACGTAAGAGCTTGTGCCTCTTCGGGGAGTGCTAACACTTAACCATACACGTTATTGTTTACTTTCTCCGTCTTTATATGTAGATATGACTCTTCTCCGTTAATCTCCGTCACGTTCCAACAACTTCCTGTCAACAGCGCTAACTCTCCTTCAAAATAAAAGCATGTCCATAAATAGGAAGCCAAGCCAAATTACACTTAAGACATATACAACTGCAATGAAAGTAACAAACACAATGCGATATCCTTTTCAATTTCAAAGAACACAAATTGGTTTATTTACATTAACAAATAAAGTTCTATAAAACAACAATACTGTAGAATAGCAAAATGAATGCCGTGAATAAACCGCAATACACGTGTTGAAGTGGTTCGCTGCTGATTACTACGCTCGGTTATGTCTTTTTCTGCTCCTACATTTGGTTTTATCTTCTTTGTTCTTCACCCATCAGACTTATTCCTGACCCTTGTTGTTTCCCCCCCAGTCTGCAGGCCCCTCCTCCCAGCATGCACTCTGGCGTCAGTGTGTTGGAAGCCCAGGAGTCCCGGCATCAGAAGCAGGCCTCTCGAGTGGAAGGAGCCCCCCCGACCTACAGCGAGGTGATCGGGCACTACTACCACCCGACGTCCCTGCCCCCCAGCCACAGCCATCGGACTGTTTCCTCCTCACAAGCCCCGCCCCCCTCCTTCATACACGGCCTGCTGCGACCTCCACACCCGCAGCAAGGGAGCGTGGACAACAGGAACGCCAGGAATACCAAGGAGAAATCCCAGAAGCCCCAGCAGGTGTGACAGTACCGCTTCCTTACAAAATGAAAGAATTGATTTTGTCTGTTTGGAAGTGGTCAGTAGCCAATGAGGAACAACGTGGTAAAAATCCACTCTGATGGTAATTTGTAGTGAGGTCAGTTTCCCCACTTCATGGATCTCCTTTAGGTAAGAACACATGGAAACCACATCACTCCTGCAGAGCACAGTGGCAGGAGAACATCTGGCACTTCCTGTTCCACACTTCCTATTTCCTGTCTGAGGAGCACTTCAGATGATGATGTCAGAGAAGAAGGGCAGAGGGTGCAAAGGGAAGCCTCCTTCTTCCCTTGACGCCTCCCTCCTTCATTAGACTGATCGTACTAGTCTCCATTCATTATAAATATGTTCTTGTTTTGTTTGTTCCTATAGAACCTTTTGTTTGTTTGTCTTTTTCGCGCTTACAAAAAATCTTTCTACCCAGGCAAATGGCGAAATGTTGCAATCTTCTTGGTTCTTCCAGGTTTTTGTTTTTATTTCCTAGTGATAATCCCCCCCTCGCTGCTTTGACTCCATTATGTTCTTTGTCAAATGTTAGCTGCAACTCCTGCATCTGGCTTTAGCTGTATCACTGGGACACGTTAGCACGTTAGCATATTTCCAAGAGTTTAGATTTAGTTAGCGTTATCTGAACCTAGCTTAGCCGTCATAGCACATCGCTAAAAGTCCCCGAGCTAAACGTTTCTGCCTTATATCGACCGATGCAGGAGTTGTCACTAAAATCCTTTTTTATTTTATGTTTTCTAAAGAAGGTTTGCACAAAGTTCACGACTGTTCAACACAGAAAAAAGGAATCTGCAATATGATTGATAAAGGAGAAAACAGAGAAAAGTAGGGGTATTTTTCTAAACTTTATAGATTCTTATCGTTAAGATATTTATTTTCTGTTTTACATGTTGTCTAGTTTTAGAAAAAGGAAACACCATGAATCTGTTGGGGTGCCAACTTTCACATTTTGCTACATACATGTGTTACATTTTGAGTTTATATACGAACACACGTATGCAAACGGAGAGCGAAGTTAAAAGCACGAAGAGAGTTATTTATATAAATGCTGAAAAGAATTGCACTATTTTTTAGTATGAGCAGATGGAACGTGTGAGAGAGACTTTTACTTTGAAGGAGCTCTGTCAAGTGAGGCGTAATATAAAAAGAGAAAACGTAGATTTACCAGAGGGGCGGTGCACAGCAGCATGTATCACGGAAACACATCACACTCTGACTTTGGATCAACCGACTCGGATACATTACCGTACCATTGATATCAAACAAATAAATCCCTCATTTATGCAAATATCCGAGTCCTGCGAGCCAACCACAGGTCAGCCTTCAACCTGTTGGGCCCAATCAGAAACTCTGCTTGTAGTTCTCTCTCTTCCTATTGGCCGAATTGTTAGCCAATCCCAAAGCTGGCTGTCGCTATCTCGACCAAAACGAGCCTCCAGTTTTCTCACGTTAATCAGACTTTTTCACAAACAAACGTCTGACCTAATCTCGACGCTGTGTAATGTAACAGGAGGGTAGTTTAATCCTGCTGTGTTCTCTTATTTCATGTTTGGATTATTGAGTTAGAAGAGAGAGATAATGCAGATCAAAGTGACACCTAACGTCCTCTTCGTGTTGCGTTACTTAAGGAAGGAAGCCATTTCGCCCTAGACCAATGATACGCTGACTGTGCGCTGCTGTGGCCGTACACACACCAACGTTTTCTTTTGAAATCTGTCTTTTGAACGTACACACACGCTCCCCTTCTGGTAAGGTTTTCTCTGTTGCAGGCATCGCTGAGCACTTTACTGCACCAGGAAAGAGTCAACAATCTTCTGTCAGCCAGCAGCAGCCGATAAAAGCTACAGTAGAAACCTTTCATATCGTAGGATAGACTTTAGACCCACACTTGAAAAGATGCTAAGAGTTGTGCTCCAAGACTTGAAATCCCTTACAACAAATGGAACTACCTGGAATCAGTGACTTATTATCATCCAGACCTGGGTATCAAAGAGTTTTCATTCCCATACAATGAAGAGTTTCAGTACCATGACAAACATACAAAGAAATATGTTTGTGTTTTTATACAAAACTCTTATTCAAAAATCTAATTAGTAAATAGATTTGCACCATAACAAGATCAAAGTTTGATACTCAGTCTGGCTTTTCAAAGTTATTTGATGTATTCTTTTATTTGACTCCCTTCCTTCCTTGGTGGATATTTCCCTCTTGTAGCATAACTCCTAGTGTTTAACGCAGCAGAAGATGAGTTGTCTCATATTAAACACACTGAAGTGTTGAAAAGTGACACGAGTGTTTGCAGCAGCTCTTCTTCTGTCATCTCTTTAGGAGCGCGGGACTAAAGGTCAAACTAACGTAGGAGATTAGGACGTGAAGACATTTGTAGTTTTTGAGTGTTGAATTTAGTTTATTTCAATTGTTGTTGATGTGAGGCTTTAGTGTCCAGTCTTTATGCAACAGCGCCCTCCGCAGGGACCCAACCAAACCACAGCCAAAACTCCCGAAGCTGACTCAGCGTAATTTAGTGGAAGAAGAGAGAGTCAGAAGGCCAAAAAAGACGTTTTATAATCTGAAGCGGTGAGTCCTTTAACACTTTGACGTATTATTGTCATAAGGTCTATCTGAAGGATACACGTGTGGGACTCTAATATCTCTTTCTTAACAACAATGAACCCTCATCAAATTTGAATTTTGTTGTCCCTGTTTAAAAAGACATGGAAGTACATTTACAAAAATCCTGAATTGAACGGTGGAAGTTAACATTCCTGTTGTTGAACTCGGTCTCAAACTGCTGCAATACAGAAAAAAGACGGATCATCAGAAGTCCTTTCTTTGACTCTCTTCATCCTTTTGTTCCAGTGTGATGCACGGTATATATCACAATGTAAAGAAATCAATCTCTTGACCCAAAGCAGCTAAAGGAGTGACGAGTGGATCAATCAGAATATAAATCACCTCGTAATGAGAGTATAAGCCCCCAAACACAAGTTTAGATAATTTATTAACCCTCCTTCCCTTTCCTTTTATTTCCTTTCCCTCCATCAGTATTATACTTGTGTTTGGACCAGGTGTTTCCTCTAGAAATGGTTTGGGTCCCTGCAGGGTTGCACCGGGTATCAAAAGGCTGGGCAGGCTCTGAATAGGGCGTCACAGTAGAAATAAATAGTAGAAATAGTGATCGTTATTTAAAATAATGTGCCTAAAGGGTGCATGAGAAGTGAAAGCGTGTAGAACCAATCTCTCGCTTCAGGGAAACCTGCGCTGGCTGACGATTCAAAACAAGACTGGAGGAGAGATGAGGGAAAACATAAGCCACACTATAACTGACTCATCATGTGCTGCCTACTCACACACATACACACGCACACACACACACACACAAAGAGGAGATAACAATTGATTTACTTCCAATGGGTGATTTATTCATATACACTGAAAAACCGGAAACGTTGTCTTTTATTAAATGTAATGTGTCAACAGATTTCACATAAGTGTATTTAATTAAAGTCAACGTTTCAGTTTTTTCAGTGTAGAAATGATCATTTAGGGGGTTAAGTATTCCTTTAAGAGGAGTCGGTTGAGCTTAATCCACATTGAATGTTGTTCAAACACGAAATGTATCAGGTTTCTGTCTCCTAGAAATGTGTCAAATCCAGCAGTAATCTGTGTGTGTTTAAACTGGGACACAACTCTTTGATTTAAACCAGCGTGAAGGCTGAGTGCGTGTGCGTGCGAGTGTGTGTGTGTGTGTGTGTGTGTGTGTGTGTGTGTGTGTGTGTGTGTGTGTGTGTGTGTGGGAAAGACCCTGGGAAAGACCTCCAGCTATCTAGACAAAAACTAAACAAACACACACAGGTGCACCATCACACACACATATCTTTGTTATTGTGGACCACACAAGAAAACATTGTATCCAACACACACCCACAGTCCCCCTCCTCCTCTCTGAACGAGCTCTTCCTGTTACCTAGCGATGCCTGCTGTCCAATGACAGAGCTCCTCTCCCCCAGCCTTCGCTCCCATTGGCTGGCTGTTTTTTTTCGTGGTCTCCTTGGAAGCGTCTTTATTTTTGTTGCTATGTCGTAAATGTGCCTGCCTGCGCTGAGACGGGCGAAACGTGAGTGGCTAGTTTGGGCTGTCAATCATCCCATGCCACGCCTCCTTACTGTCTCAGAGGATGCTGATTGGATGATGATGATGAAGATGTTTTTGATAGAGCGTTGCAATACACCTACTATTTGCCTTTTTGATAATATTAGTCATATTTTAACGTAGTGTTCTTAAATGTACCTTTTTTATTGTTGTTGTTATTATTGTTGTTTATTCACTTGAGAACAAAACCATTTTTCTTCGATCCATTTTCACACAATGTTTTTGGGGTGTAAAGCGACCTACCACAGGAAAGCTGCAGATGATTGAGAGGATGTGTAAATACAACACTTCTGTTTTCAAAGTGCCATTTGTAGTTTCAAGAGCAACCCATTCGTGCACTCCTTTCATTCAGTCCTGAGGTCAAAATGCACTCATTGCATGTAAACAGGAAGTGCGCTACTTCCTGAATCATCGGCTCTCCTCCCCTGGCCAGCGTCTACATGTGTGCCTTCTGCTGGTGGGGGGGGCGGAGACTCCCCTCTGCAATGACCCCCTCAATACTCTGTAATAATACGGTTGCCTTTTGACACCGACAGCACCAACATATTCATCAAATACTTCAAATAACACGGCCAGGATGTAAGGAAGTCTATTCAGGGCAGGAAAATATTAAAAATGGTTTAAATGTGATGAATGACACCAAAAAAAACGATACATAGAAACTCTATTTGTTGATAACTTGGGAAAAGTGAACATCTGTAAATCCATTAACAATGCATAAACAAACATCCGCTGAAGACGTTTTCTATAAACGCTCACAAAGCAGCACAGAGTTGGTGGATTGTTTTTGATAAGAAATACTCAAAAAGAGGATTCATAAGGGGAAATTGTGATTTTGAAAGTCAAAACTACTAGATTTGCAATCTTTTTTACTATGTCATAATATTGACAACAACAAAAGTTGCATCTTTGAATTAGTATCTGATACATTTAAGTATTTCATTTATTTTATTTGTCTTGCATAAGATTAGCTTTGTTTCTCTTTTCTTGGCACAAATGGGCTTCCATAGTGATACGAGTTTCTTATGCTGCGTTCCAGAGAAAGTCGGACCCTTCAAACTGTTGTTATTTTCCACATTCTTTCATGTAAGGTTGAAGTAACGATGACCTACCAGTGCAGATGTGTATTGTGTTTCCGACATGTAATGGAACGCAACATAAGAAACAACGTTACAAGTGAAATACACAGAAATAAGTGTCTGGCCTCAAACACATTAAAGACATGTCCAAAGAAGGAATCCTCCTGAACCCGACTCTTGGACAAGAGTTACACCTGACTTGAACTTCCTTTTTTTTTCTTGGGTTAAACACTTTGCTTTACAATTTCCATTTTCTCCAGTTCCTGTAACTCTTAAAAAGTCTTTGAGTACACAATAACACACACACTTGTTTTAAAGAGGAGCGGTGCTGGAGAAAAGAAGTTGTGAAAGAAGCAGTTTTCCTCCTTTGTGTTCTTGCTCATTCTGCCTCTTTGAATCAGCGCTGCGCAGCGCCTTTCCTCTGACAATGTTGAAGAAAATATACGAAAAAACACTCTTTTTGTTGCAATATGTGTGCATATTTAAGCAAAACCTCAATATCTTACAGGCAGTGACTATTGTAGAAGTCTTCCACCTGTTGTTCACTTTGATCCTGCAAGCATCTTCAAAATGTAATGTGGGACATGTAGTTCATTCTGGTTTCAGTGTAGAAAAGGTTCATCCTTCCTTCCCCTGAAGTGGAAGGAAGGTGGAGTTGAAATCTGTTCACAGCATGGCTCACACTCTTATATACAGGCCTACTTATCCTCAATGGTAATAACTGCTTACTTGTGTATTAAAACCTGTTATTTTATTTATATTGGGTGGTCTACGTGCTGCAAGGTTTGTTATGTTGTTGTTTGTCTTCTGTTTGTTTCAAACTGAAGACAATGGTTTATCGTTGTTGTCACAGAACATGGTGTGAATCGGACACATTTCAGTTAGCCTTCGATTTAAAAAATGAATAAAAAAGTTTTATAAATATGTCCACGTCTCCTCCTGGGTATTTATTTATTTTAAATATGAGTTACATTAACAAAACATTGTTTTCGTTATATAATACTTTTTTCATTTTAAAATGTAATATGTTTATGGGGTTAGTGTCTGTAATATTTGAGTCTATAGGGGTCATTTATTCAATTTTAAATATATACAAGTTGCATTTAGTCGAAATATTTAAGTTTACTTAATATTCATTTATACTATTTAATATATATATATAAATAAAAAGGTAAAATTAACTGAACATATATGAGTTATGTCAATATATGTATAAAGGTGACATTCAATGAAAATATTTGAGTGTACTTTATATTTATTTTAAATATTTTTATATATATTTAAAATGAAATATATATGGATTTTTGTATATAAAATATATTTGATATATGTATACTCACTGGCCACTTTAATAGGTACACTTGTTCAACTAACGCAAATATCTGATCAGCCAATCACATGGCAGCAACTCAAAGCATTTAGGCATGTAGACATGTTCAAGAGGACCTGGTGAAGTTCAAACAGAGCATCAGAACGGGGAAGAACAGAGATTTAAGGGACTTTGAACGTTAAACGCGCTGGTCTGAGTATTTCACAAACTGCTGATCTACTGGGATTTACACCGACAACCATCTCTAGGGTTTACAGAGAATGGTATGAAAAAGGGGAAATACCCAGTAAGTGTCAGTTCTCTGGGAGAAAAGGTCTTGTTGATGCCAGAGGTCAGAGGAGAAAGGCCAGACTGGTTCAAGAGGATAGAAAAGCAGCAGTAACTCAAATAACCACTCGTTACAACCAAGGTATAGAAGACCCTCTCTGACCCCTGAAGAAGATACAGCAGCAGAAGACCACACTGTGCCCTTCCTTCAGCTAGGAACAGGAAACTGAGGCTACGATTTGCACGGGCTCACCAAACAGGACAATAGAATATTGGAAAAATGTTGCCTGGTCTGATGAGTCTTCATTTCGGACGGTATAGGGTCAGAATTTGTCGTAACAACATGAGAGCATGGATCCATCCTGCCTGTATCAACGGTTCAGACTGGTGGTGGGGCTATGATGGTGGGGGGATATTTTTTATTTGCATACTTTAGGCGCCTTAGTTCCAGTATATACTGTATATACCGTATATCAGGGCTATTTAATTGGCGGCCCGCGGGCCAAATCCGGCCCCGGGGTGACATTTACTGGCCCTTTGAGTATAATGTTAAAAAGTAAGCTACTTTTTTTTGGGAATCATTTTTTTTGGGACAGTGTGCCTTTATTCCAGAGAAGGTGTTACATTGAGAGATAGAGGGGAAGACATTGCCAGAAAACTTCAGCGGGCTCGGGTTTCGAACCCACCTAGCTACTGTATTGACAACCCACCTACTAGCTACCGTAGTGACAACTCACCTACTAGCTACTGTAGTGACAACCCACCTACTAGCTACTATAGAGACAACCCGCCTACTAGCTACCGTAGTGACAACTCACCTACTAGCTACTGTAGTGACAACTCACCTACTAGCTACCGTAGTGACAACTCACCTACTAGATACTGTAGTGACAACTCACCTACTAGCTACTGTAGTGACAACTCACCTACTAGCTAATATCAGTGTCTCGAAAACACATGTTGGTGACTGAAAGACATCCAGTGTTTGGTCTTTTCCGGAAGCATCCTACAGTGTCTCAACTGAAAGAGGACCACAAACACACAAAATATAATACAATTTTGAGATTTGGGGATATTTATCTCCCATTCTTTCACTTTTTCTGACATTTTCAAGACCAAACATGTCGTTAATGTCTCTGTTTAGTGAACTACAGCAATCTGAAAGCCTCTACATTATTTATATCACACTTTATCAGTAGAAACATGCAGGAAATGACTTTTTTTAATGCGGTATTTTCTGATATATCGCGCAACACAAAGATATTTCGCTCTGTGCAAACCTTTGACTCTAATATGTCAACAACATGAGACAAGAATATGAACCTGGCTTTATCCAATGTGCACACAAGAGTTCAACATCCTGACACATCCTTCATCTACACTGTCTCAACTGAAAGAGGACCAGAAACATATTAAAAAATATAATAAAATGTGGAGACTTTGGGATTTTTATCTCCCATTCTTTGACTTTTCAGGCATTTTACAGACCAAACATGTCGTTGATGTCACTGTTTACCAAACTACCACTTTTTCTGAAAAATGCATAAAATGATGCAATATATGTTAAATACATGGTTTATACATGTAATTACTGGGGTTCCATTTCTTCTGATTACCTGATTTGGGCGTGCACATTTGCCGCGCGCAAACCTACCTCTTTTGGATTTGTAAAGGTTGGCATGTATGTTACTGTATCTGAAGCTCTTAATATGATTGCTCATATTTCAAGCCATCGTTTTCCCAGCCCCTTGCTTTGTGTTACGGTGTGCAGGAAGCAGGACCCAAATGCAGATTTAAGTGACAAAAATAATTCCTTTATTTCAAGGCTACAATATACAGAGACAGAACAGAACACTCACCGCAGACCAAGTCATTACACAAGACGAACCGACACTGAACACAGGAAGAGACAAGACTAAATACAGGAAGGGGTAATCACAAGACGAGACACAGCCGGGCAGGGGAGGAGAAACACAAGGGCCACAGGTGAAAACAATCAGACAACTAGACACACCAGGGAAACTAACGACGGGAGGAAAAACACAGGAAGAAGGACCAGACACTATACAAGGATGAAAATATCCATAACCATACATACAAAACTACAACACAGACAGATCCTAACACTTTGGATCATTTTCATCAACCGGCCCCATTCCAAACTAATTGAATAGCCTTGCCGTATATATTAGTTACATCAGCTTACTAAACGATTTCATTTAAACAATAGATGGGTACATGTTGTGTAAAGTGTTTATTAGGTTATTGTTTTAGCACTGAAAACATTTCGCTTTAAAGTTTCACTCGTTTTTAAAAATGATGTTAACTTAAATAGTTTATTTTTTGCGCGTTCGTCTGATACACGTTTTTTTGAAACTCTTTTTTTACAAACCAAACAATCAATGAATTAAAGGACACAAATATTTACAAGATAAATCCATCATACAATTAAACTTCATTAAATAGCATTATTATTTTTTAAATAGATGTATAACATTAGGGGACACTTTTCTATATACCTACCTACTAATGCAGATTTGAAAGGTATGCAGGCCTTTTTATAATGATTATTTTTATAAAAAATAAAATTGATATATTTGCAACCAGTGCATCACTAATACTACATTGTAATGTTTATATTACATACTTGTACTGAGTAACATTTGATATGCAGGAATCGAAATAACATGTGTACCACTTTCCCCTCTGCTGAGGAACAACCAGCAGGTGGCGCTCTTCTCTTCTGTTTCTCACTCTGACTTACTGTTTGTTAGGCCGTTTCTCAATCTCGAGGATTCTGGCTTCCAAGCCAATATTTCAAGGATGCTACCAGAGCCGTATAATAGAAGAGTTATGACATCTCCGTTCACTCCAATGGACCACTTTTTTACAGCAATGGCGGATCGTGGAGCCTCTCAATCGTTCCCCGGAAGTTAGCGCCAAGGCTAGCAGAGCGGTAGAGTTGCAGCATAATAACCGTTCGTGACGGACTTTTAAAGGTAAGAAGAAGTTTAAAGATTTATATTGCGGATATTATCAGTACATCTGATTCAAATGAACATGTGTATTAAAGGATGTCAGTGGATTATCCCTAAATCAGTAGATTTAGGGAACGTTTACAGATAACAGATCAAGCTAGGATACCGAAGCAAGTTAGCAACAGACGTTGAACAACCTTTTAATTGTAAATTCTGTTCTCTTAATGTCATTTGGTCCAACGTTGTTGAATTAGAGAAGAGGGGCTTCTAAACGGGATTGTATGCGGGGGTGGAGGGAGTTAAATATTAGATAAATATAACTTTGGTGCGTGTAAGAGTGAGTGTTTTTAGCAGAGCCATATTGTGTCCTTGTGATTATGTTGATTATTACCTGCCTGTATAATGTTGCAGCTCAGCTGATTTTGGATTGATGGCAAAGGGAGAGGAACTTAAGTGAGTGTGAAAACACAAGGTAAGTTTAATACTACTGTTTTATATAAGTAAGCATACTAAACATGTATTCTATCACTGTATTATATAAGTAATCTTGTTAGTAACCTACTGTATGGCAGGTGGAGGGGCAGTGATGTTACAGGTGGAGGAGCAAGACTGCAAGACTGCAAACTCACAAGACAGAGAAATCAAAGTTTGTTCTCCAGAGAAGAGGTTGATTTCACTTCAATTTTTTATTTCATATTTTTCTAAAGATGTGGAAATGGCAACAAAAAAACACGTGAGAGCTGTAACCAAGACAACTGTAACAACAGGAGTAGACAGCCACCAAGGTTTTTCAAGTCCCTCTCTTACTCCATTTTGCCAACCCAAACTTCCAGGTACATGACGGGACACTTTGCTTGTTTTTGTTGTTTGCGCTCCTCTGGCAGGTGGAGGGCAGTGATCCCTTCCCTTCTTCCCTCAATCTTTGAGACTAATGTAAGTAGAAGACATGGCACTGTAAATGTTCGAACATTTAAAATATTATACCACTTAAAAATAAGAAATATTACTTTTGTTACTAAGAGTTCATACTTATTATACCTGTGTCACCTTTCACACTATCGCTGTGATCATGAGCTATGGGCTTTGTAGATACAGGTCCCGGGGTGAATCGTGGTGCAGGGGCCCTTCTCTTTTTGACCACAGGGCGATGCACGAAGATGGTGGGTATAGCCTCTGCTCTCAGCCTAGTCTTGCCCTTTTTTGTCTTGACAAACTGGTCTGCATCAAAATGTGCCTGCGGAGTGACTTGAGGTTACTTCACACACAGAACAACTGTGTCTGAATCTTGTCTGCCCACATACATATTCCATAGTGGTTGAATACACAGTATTAGGAAACACTTTATACTTAC